ACTATTCTCCATGTTTATAAGATTAGTCCATGAAACTTTCACAACCACCTTATGAGGTAGGTTCTTTTATTACCCCTATTTTTTATTGTGGAGGCATGACGTCTGAAAGTGGTAGAACAAAAAATTGTATTTAGGTAGTCTGGTCCCAGAAACCATATTCTTAACATGCAACAAGTGCATGCAAACAAACAAGAAAGTGTCTTTAAAAGCATCTGCTGATTTGTTGCTTTGCTGAACAAAACTGTCTGCTAATTTGATCATAGCCTATTCTGTACTTCAAACTGAGGAAAGTTGCTGGAAGTTAACTTTGCACCTTGCCTCTCATCACAGAAAATTGTATTATGTTCTTCTCCATATTATTGGTTTCACTCAGCTCAACAGTTTATCTGACCAACTTTGCAGTGCCAATATGTATACTCAGTTTTAGGAAAAATACATTTTCCTTATTGATCCAAATGTTATGATATACACTTGAGAGTTTTATGATATGCTATGGCACACAGGTAGAGAACCTGTGGAACTTGTGAAAATTTACCTGGACAACCCATATGTTATGCAGAGTTCTATGACACTGAAACCAGTATCAAACACTGAACAATGAATTCTCTGCTTTTAGCAGAATTTAGCATTAAAAAGTACTGTTGTCAGTTTATATTTTTTCATCAAAAACACTACTAAAATTAATTTGTAGGTATAAGTAGTTAAAAATAACTACATCCAAGGACTAGTGCCTTGTAAAACTTCTTGAAAAAACATCTACTGCTTAATAGCTCGAGCTATTACATTTATAATCTAGATTATATAATATGAATATAGATTATATTTTTCCTTTATACAGCTTTCTAATGTGAACAAGCTTCTCTGACTCTAACTCTGAAAGAAGTGGAAATGTCTTTATAATTTATTAACCCCTGAAAAGGGCACATTCCTATGTCATAGCTTCTGAGGCAGAAATTGAATGCAGATAAAAAAATCATGTTCATACTTTTAACTACTGAATTCTAATTTTACTCTCTCATTCTGCATACTTCAAATAGGCATTACTAAAGGGACTAACTTCAGGGCTATTATTTTTGTTATTATGCAATAGCACAAGAGTAAAATATTTTGTGCTAAATTAAGTGTGTTACGGTAACTTTTGTTGTACAATTTACCTGTATGTCACTAGATGGATTTTTCAGTGGCTAATTAAATGATACTATCTAAAAATGGTTTATCTTCAACTGATAGGTTCTATGCATAGATTGATTTTTCTCTGAGGAGGTTGTATTTTAGGCTTTTTATTTCTTTTAAATCACTGAGTATCTGTAAATAAGTTCAATAGGGAATAAATATCACTTTAAATGCCATTGTCCTGGGAACTAGTATTAGTATCTACCAAGATACTGAAATAAATTGGTCTTAAAGGGTAGATTGTCTCTAGTTTGCTTGTTCAAACACAAACTACTATCATTTGGGAGATATTAAGATTTTTAATTAATTTTTTAATTCTTACATTATAAAGAAACCTGTCCAAAGTCAAACAACTATAAATTCAGCATACTGTTACCAGCAAATAATTTATTGTAAAATGGACAACAAAGATAAAGCTAACTTGCTTGAACATATGTTATAAATACAAGATAAATTTGTCCAAAAATGCTTGATACTGTTTTTGGAATCTACCACAAATTATTTTATTTTTATAATATTGCAGTGATCACATTTAGAACCAAGTAAGAATTATAAAATAATTGATATACCTTTTCACAAAACCCAAATATAAAGTATATAAAAATCTATTTTAGATTAGAACATACCTGAGAACTTAAAAACACGCAAGAAATGCAAATTAGTTTATCCTTTAATTCATGTTTCCTATTTCCCAGAAAGTTTTTGATTTTATTTAGCCACACCTTAAAATACATTCTACAATTAAAGGTGAGAGCTTTTCAGTAGAAAAAAAGATAACATATACAAGAACAAGAATGTTTTTACATCATTCATTTATAAATGCCAGGTACCTAAAAGAATGCCTGGCACAGAGTTGATACTCAAGATGAACTATGTTGATGGTGATTAGATAACTAGCTGTATTAAGGGAGGAAGGGAGAAAGAAAGAGAAAGAAAACAAGAAAGAGAAATGGTTTGATTTGGGGCACTGAAATTTGTAAACATGTTTCTGAGTCCTAGCTTCTTCATTTACTGACTTACTGACTGAGTGATCTTTGGGAACAGGTTACAAATTATTAGTCTCTGCTTCCTCAGTTGCATAATATCAATTACTTCATCATACATTAATTGTTAAGTATTAATTATATATACACAATGTTGATAAAAAAGACTTTTTAAACTTTAAAATACATAAAATAATTGCATTTATGCACCTAAAATATACACCTAAATATCCAGACATTCACACAATAAGTCCAGGCTGTCCAAGATGACATCATAGTCACTATATTTTTTTGGCTTAGTAAAAAGTTGGCCTGAAATGCCCAAAATTTCAGTGTCAAGACAAGTATAGAATTCATGATCATTCAAGGGCTTGAACAGAGAACCAAAAAACCAAGCAGTATTGTATATTCAACCATTACAAGAAAATAATAAAGGGGCTTACATTAAACTAAATTCTAGGAGAGTATTAAAATATATGAAAGAGAGTATTATTTTGCAATAGGTAAAACCATAATTTGAGGAGTAATTTTCAAAAAAAAAAAAAATCACCCCCATAATACGGGGTATTCAGAGAACTTCAGAAGAGTTAGTAAGAATCTTTTCATAGCTGCCTATTGTTTTCCATCTTTTCTTAATACTGGTTACTTAAGTCAGACAAAGAGCATATGTATTTAAAAGGAAGTGGAGAACACAGCAGTATATATAGCATCACACATCATTTATTTATGTCATCCTGCACTGAGAACTTTCCTAGGGACTTTGTGGTATAGGAAATTGCTATGATCCCACTGATGTCCTCTCTTAAATTAAAAAATAAAAAATAAAAACTTTTTGTGAAATGAATGAAGTTGATCAGCCATGTAGATCATATGTGTACTTGCGTTGTACAAAGTTGTCCAAAGGAAAATAAGGAGCTAAGCAATTTAACACTTGCAGTCACCATCAATGTAGTGCATTTGGGACTAACCAAGCTAATACTGAAAGACGAAATCACACACAGAAAAAAATACTATTTAAATGTCTAGATCATTTATTAGCTGAAAAAGATTTTCTTCATTGTTGACATAATGATATAAATAGATTTTAAGAGAATTAATTATTAGGAGACAAATGCTTTTCCCTTAGTTAAGTTTGATCACCTGTGAAAATGACATAGTCAATACCACTGGGTTTTACTACTCCACTTTAGAGTACTTAAGGAAAGAAAAAAAAAAAAAACACTTCATTTCAAAGCAGTGAATCATTATGCTTTCAAGCTCATATTATCAAAACTTTTAGGTTTCACCTTTAAATTTTGAAATTCACAGAATATACCAACCTAAATTTTCCTGAGCAAAAAATTAACTCTAGATGTGTATTGGAAGCTTTTTGAGGTTTTGTGGATTATACATTGTTGTAACTGAGACATTAAGCTCACTTGTTTAGATTTCATTAATACACAGCAGCTGACACTTTCTATAGACTTAGTTTTGTTCAGACCTTAATTGACCAAAGGAGACAATTTGAACAACAGTAATGTCTAGAGCTGCCGAACAGGACTGGGCTAGCATAAGATACAGAGTGTGACATAGCTGAGAAACCCCTGCTGTCTTAAAGCACAACTGGAGAATCTCCAAATCCTGAATTTTAATTATCAAAATTACTAGTTTGCATAGACAGAAATATCCTATGTTAAAGATGGAGTAAAAATAAATCTAAAAAGCATAAGCATATGAAAGCTTGATGAACAAGCTATTATTCAAAAGTTTTATTACCCTAGGAGGAATGGAGATGGTATTAAAATAAAAGAGCATGTTAAATAAAATAACAGTTAATTATACTTCTCTGTGGCTTTATTTCATAAATAACTGCATTCAACTTTAAAATAACAGCAGTGTGCTCCTTTATATCATACTAATAGACAACATTTGAGGGGATAAAAGTATTTTTGAATTCTTCATTCGTTAGCATGTGAACATTCTTAGTCAATTGAAAGCTTTTAGTATAGTGACTTTTCAGTTTCTCTGTCACATTCAATCACCTATCCATAGCAGTTCAACAGCTGTAAATATATTTGTTTTGCTACTATATAACCAGATCCTCAGGCATAAATGTTACTACTGACAAATTATTAAATAATATAAATACACATTTTTAGGATTTAAATATTTTGTGGCTACATAAAAGACAGTATTTTATTATGTACTACAAAGCATAACAAATATGCAATAAATGATTTTAATATCTCTTAATTTCAGAAAGAAGCCCTTAAACTCTTTCTTAAAATTTTTCATTATTATTTCCTTAGATTTAAATGATAAATATGAATGCAAAGTTTTACAACTTTATTTCAGAAGCCAGAGCCTTTGCTCACTTATAAATTTTGTTTTCCTGTATAGACACAACTTTGGAAAACTGTCCCAAAGAACTGCCATTTAACAATTAGAAACTTTGACTCATTTTAAATCTATAGCAACAGTACTTGATTGACGATTTTTACTACTATTCTTTACTGCTAATAGAAAAATACAGAGAAATGAAACAGAATGATACACATACACATATGTAGTTTTAAAAACACATTTAAAATTGTGGTCTTATAATAGCAGTTACTTTCCTTTTTCTAAAGCAAAGCTGAATTTACCTGCCATTCATTTTCTGCTGCAAATTAGTTTGTCAGGTACACGTTAGCAAGCTCTTTTCTTCAATTCATTTTGCTAACTCCATAGTCCTTTAAATAACGATAAATATTGCTGAATAAAAGCTTACCAGATAGTAATCGTCTTTGACCCTTATACTATTTCCTCTGCAAGACACATCTACCTTTAATTTAAAAGAGAAGGTAAAACAGAAGAAGATCTTACCAGAGATAGAGAAAACAATTCGTTCAGCTAATCCAACAGTGCTCTGTGCAGCCTGGCAGCATGAGTGATCCTTGGGCCTCACACAAAAGCAAGATAATTGGCTCTCAATGAAGAGATGTAAACATCCATCATAATGGCACTGTGCTGAAACTGAACGCTACCTCAGCTGTTCTATATACTCCGACTGGAAGATGATGTCACAAACATCAACTGGGTGTACTCTCATTGGCTTCTGTTACCTGGAATCATATCTTAACCCTAAACTGTCAGCTGCAAATTGAAAAGCTCATTTCTGACTATAATTTCTGCTTTAAAAGGAGAGTGAAAGTAATGTTGAACTCCTGAAAGATCACAAACTGAAAATACTGCCCTCTAAATATGCTAAGACTGATTTACCTAATTAATTAATCAAATTAGTGAAAATTTTATTTTCTGAATGTGTTTATTAAGTAACAGTGTTTATAAAAGGTATTTGAAAAAATGGATATTAAAGAACAAGATGTATATAATCACAACATCTGGAATTTTAAATTTGGTAATTACTTTGCATTGATTTTACAGTACTAGCCCCTGGGATTTAAAAAAAGTCAAGATGAGAAAAATTATAATGTAAACAATTGTACAGTGAAGCTTTTAATCAATTTTTTCAGAGCAGCCATTTGTGTTTTTAAATCTAATAAAAACACAAAAATGGGAATGCATTTTATTCTCTGAGTGTTAAACACTGTCTCCAAAGTTTTGTGTAATAAACCTTAAAGAATGAGATATTAAAAGCACATCATTAAAATAATAATGTTAAATATTGGTTTTTACAAAGAGTAATTTATAAGTCACTGGAACTTCAGACAGTCCCATTTCAGTAATTGAAAACTACTCTATGATATAGTGCTCTTCTCTTTGAGCACACATGGGGAATAATTATCCATCTCTTTACCTTCTATCATGTCAAAAGCCCCAGATTTCTCCCCAGGCTTAAATCCAGTGGGAGAGGAGGATAATGGGCTAAGCTGGTTGCAGCAGCTTTGCTGCCAGAGGGACAAAACTACAATCACCTTGAAATATGCCCAAGCTTTCCCTAGCAAAAGGAGCTGTCAACCGCATAACTGTGAGATCCAAGAATTACCAGAGCTATTCAATGACCAGTTCCTTCTAAATCTAGCCCAGCCATATCCTAGGGCAAGCCCTTTGAAAGCTGTACAGCTCAGCATGCAAACAGTGCAAGCACCTAAAGAAAGAACAGGAAAATTCACTTCAACCACCCCAAATTTAGGGAAAGAAAAGTCATCAAGAGTGCACTTGTATGCCTTTATGTTATTTCATTTCTTTCTGAATAATGGATTCAGGGCAAATACTTGTTATACTCCCTCTGCATTTCCAATGACAGAAAATTACTTTTACTCAATGGCCTCAATGAGTGCTCAAAAAGTTGATAATATATGAAAAGACACTTTCATATGTTCATATTTCCTCCCAAGTTCTGACTTATGATAGTCAGTTTATTTGATTGCTCTGAGTAGAGAGTTAGTATGTGACATAGGAGCAAGAATTCTAGACTAGGGTTGAAATGATTCAGCCTCCAGTTCTGGCTCCACCACTTACTATCTGTAAAAACTCTGGTAACTTAACATCTTTTATGTATAGACGGAGAATGGTAGTGCTACATACAGCAAAATAATAATAAAAATAATAAAGATATAGAGATGAGACAATGTATAGAAGCTTGTTATAAAAAATAAAAATGTATTACATAAATATAAGATACAATTAATATTGTTGTTATAAAACAATCAAATGTGTTCATTTCAAAAACACTTGGAAGATTCAAAATGTAGAGTTACTTTAGTGTTCTCAAAATAATTATATAAATATTATCTTAAACTCTTAAAATTTCAATTTGAAAATAATGTTTCAAATTAGCTTGATTTATATCACTGACTGACTCAATAGTCTCTCTCTCTTTTTAAGTTGTTATCCCTCCCAGAATAATTTAGAGTTTAATGATTAGTCAAGTGCAAGATATTAAACTCAAGAAGACTATTTGTCAAAATGTACTTCGGGCCAACATGAAAGACACTGTTCATTTAATTCTGCCTAAAAGCATGGCAGTTTAGATGAAAATGTGTATCAAAAAATTCATTGCCATGCAAAGTGACATAAAATTGAATTACAGTCAGAGAGATGAATTTGGACAATGAGAATATTAGCTGTATTTTTTGTACACAAATGATAAAACTAAGATATTAAAATTGCTAAGAGGATATGGTGAGCAGAAAAAAATTATTTCTACAATAAAATATAATCCTATATTGCATGCATAATATAAAATTTTAATGGTATAAATATTTAATGACAAAGATAGAAAGCTAGCAAATTAGATTATATCCTGTTACATGTAGAAAACATGCTGAGATATAGATATACACATTGAGTTAATTTTTAAAAATAAGGGTATTTTTGGTGATTTAATGCACACAAATCATAACCTCTCTTATTTGTTTTGCATTTGTTTGGGTGAGAGAATATCACATATAATGTGCCTAGAGAAATAGAACAATATAAAGATTGAGAAACTTAAATACTCCTAGTGTTCAGAAGGCACTTTAGTTTGTTTGGTTTGTTTATTTATTTATCTGTCAATTCACACAGATATCAATGTATAGGCATTTTGTATCAATTACCTACATCCTACACAAAATTTGTTTATAAGTGAGTATGGTACTTAGTAAAGAATGCTGTTTTTTATTATTAAAATATGTCAATGAGATTTTTTAAGAATGTAGATTTCAATGCTTAAATATTACACAAGATGGGGCACACTTATTACATATGAAAATAACTTCATATCTAAAATTTGAATTGTTTAAAAATTATAAAATTATTGGCTTACACTTTAATTCCTAGGAAAATTGAAAGGAAAGAAAGATAATATACTAGAAATACTTCATATTAATGTTGGCCTATAATAATGAATGAGTCTTAAGTTTCAAATTTTGTTGTAAATCATTAGGACAGAATTTACATTTTAGTTTTAAATAATTACATCTATACATGGAGGAATGTTTCGGATAAATATAGAATATAACGGGTCATATATGCATATCGGTCTTATTACTCCAAATTGGTATTTTATATATAAGTACAGAAACAAATACATATTCCCTTACAGTGGGGAGAAATCATTGGAAAGTCATAATTAGTGGAATTTATAAAATGTTTTTGCAGTTCTTTAGTGGTGTTTCTTTTGTAAGAGCAGAGATACTGAACGTCAAGAACTTTCAGTAATTTATTTGCAGAATGTCCTTTGGAAAAAAGCCTGATGATACTTGAACATCAGTCTGCACATGTATCTAGGTTACAGTCAAAAATAAGACAGTGTGTATGTGATGTGAACATTGATGATAAGACGTATAAATATTTTCTACTATCCTAAAATGATATTAAGAAATACAATCTGATTACAAGATTTAAAAAAAATTCTAAATGTAAACATGTTAAAACATTAAGAAATTGCAAGAGAAATGAAAGAATGGTGTGACTTCTTGAATATTCTATTTAATATATACATGCAGAGGAGTAAAATGCTGCATATAGCTCTAATTTCATAAAAGGATAATAACAAACACTGCATTTGAGAGTGAATTTACCAACACTGTCTCATTATTTATTACATTCCTCCAACTAAAATGACCAGCTGGCATTTGTGAGTTCAGAGAACATTAAATATTTTAACTTTAATAGTGTCTAAAAGCTTAATATGAGGTTGCAAAACACTCTATAGACATTCATTTAGGCTTAATTCTCAATAAATGTATATTAGTGAATGTTTTCTAATAAGAAGAACATGGAATCAATACAATATTTTTGACAAATCAAGTTGAAGATGTTTTGTAGTTTAAGCCAAGTACATCTCAATTTTATTGTGGTACTTACATACTATATATTTCCCAGGAGCTGAAATCATTGCAATATTTAATTGCCTGACAAGTATTTCTGTTACATCAATTTTGTGGTTAAACTAATTATTTACATTATCAAAACAAATCAGCACTAGAGGCTAATTAAACTGGAGAAACCATCCTCCAATGTTTCCCAACCAACATATTAATAAGGTTTAGTTTATTACTAACTTCGGAAAGAATGAACGTGTCCTTCAAGTGATAATTTGATAGGCAGGACTTAAGAATTTAAAAAACTTTAAAACTGTTGTGAACATTACTATCTCCTCTTGAGCAGTTAGGTATATGTAGCATTTACTATCTCTTGCAAAATTGACTGGCCCATTACCTAGTTATCTACAAGATGGCAGCTCTATTTATGTGGCCACCAACACTTAATACATTAGTTTATCCTTTTTTATTTAAGAAAATATAATATATAAAGTGTATAAGTAACATGTATATGAATGATCATAATTAGGTAATTTCCATAATTAGGTAAAGTATATAAGTAACTTATGTATATGAATGATCATAAGTAGGTAATTTTTCAGTTTTAGGAGAATAAGCCATGAAAGACAGATATTGTTAAAACCTATTGAAAAACAGAAGCTATTGAAAAGGCAGAACTTTAAAATATTGTATTTTTGCTAACACAAATTCCGATGTTTCATCTCAAATTTATTTCAGAGGTTAGTCTATTCATAATAAGTAGTTTTTATTTTGTTTCCACAAAGTCTTATGTTGCTTTTAAAAAACGCAAAGTTAGTCTTCAAAATAACTGTGACTATGTAGCAATGATAACTCACTGTTACAATAAGAGAGATTTAGGAATTGCATTTTCCATCTACTAAGTCCTAGGTATAACTAAAACTCATAAGAATATCTATTTATTGATCTCACTTGAATTCCTTTTCTATACTTAGTCATCTGCACTGTCATTTTTTTTCTCTACGTCTACCTTAAATCTATTGTGTGGCAGCTTCAGTATATTACATTTATTTCTGTTTTCTATGCAGATAAAAATTTTGAAAATGCTTAGAATTATTAGGCCATATCACCTTTCTTTTCTGAGAATGGATAGCTCCAAGATGTTTAACTATGTTTATACGTCGGTAAATTTTACTCTGGAGTAAGAGAAAATGATTTAGTAAGGATGAAGAAAAGTCTTACTGCTTCTTTGTTAAAGAAATACAATTTCTTAGACATGAAAATAAGAAGCAATTGCTATTTTAGTGATTCAGCATCTTGTTTTTAAATGCAAAGTGAAAACATTAACTTATTAAAGATACCCCAATTTAACATAAACTTAAGCTTATTAGACTAAGTTTTCTTTGAATGCCATGGTTAATCTTTGTAAAAAACCTAGAGATCAATGAGTAGAAGGATTTGCTTTTTACCATGTTCTCTGAGCAATGGTATCTTGTGTATTCATACTGCTCCTTAACTAAAGACACTTTACTTGCTTTCTTATAAATA